TCAACACCCTGTGGAAATGATGCACAAGTGTGGAGGAATCTGTCGCTCCTTTGACTCACTTTCTACCAGTGATGGAGGTGAGTCCCTCCTGTTTCCACTTCCTACCTGTCAGTTACGCGAGATGACTGCCTTTGGAGCATGAAAGCACGCACTTCTTCACTTCCTCTATGTAGCTACAGAAAACCCTAATTCCCAAGAAATGAAACGCACAAAAGCATATGCCTCTGCACCTCTGATGTGCCCACCTTAGCAGCAAAAGAAATACCCAACCCTCCCTGAACACAATGTAGTGAGAGGACAGAGCTTTGATATAAGTACAGGGAGTCTGATTCATGTTCTGCTACAGCAGAGAAAGCCACACGTCACAAGCAGACTACCACTGTGTTCAGAGGAAAGAAAAAAACAGAAAAGAGGGTCATCTTCCTCTCCGTAGCCCTATTAACCCCATGCTACCTGAAGGTGACAACCGGAGGCAGAAACCTGTCACAAGCTGTGTTTCACAAGATTCATTTATCTTCCCTTCACCATATGTTCACATCACAGAGCTTCCTCCAGACTCGATGTGCTTGCAGCGGTTGAAGATCATATCTCATCACAAGCAGGCTGATAAAAAGCATCATCTCCCACTTTATTTCCACCGCTGATCATTGTATTATAACAAGGAAACTCTATCTCTTAAAGTCATACATGTGGTTTTGAGTGTAGAGTTATATACTCTGCAAATGACACAAATGAAGCAACAGACAAATGTATACTTTGAAATAATAATAATAATAATAATAATAATAATAATAATAATACACTTTTTTTCATAACTGACAAAATAGCATTATTATAGTACACCTTTTTGTTAACTATGTTTATCTTAATGATGTTAAATTTTTTGCTTTCCTTCTTGTGATATAAAAGTATATTTAGAACTTTTACATTCAATATCTTTATTATCTCTTGATGGCTCATCTTCTGGGAATTCATTGCAGTTTTGTTGTCAGAGACCAACATAATAATGGTTTCTTGAATCTTTCAATATTCTCATCATGTCCAAATAATTCCTGCTGGACTAAATGTGGTGCATTTACTGTACAGTCATGGCATCATGCATTTGAATGTTTTTCACTGAAAATAGGATATAGTTAGGACAGAATATTATATCATATCATTTGCAGTTATGGTAATTAGGCTTTGCTTTCGTACAAAAAAGGGTTTCATAAGAAGCTTCTCTGGGCAGCTTCCCATGTTAAAGCAGCTCCAGATGGCAGTAAGAGGTAAATCTTAAATCCTAAAACCCTGAAATCATGTACCGTGATTTTGTGCAAGCTCATGTTTACAATCAAAGCCAGTCTCGTGCTTCATAACAAAAGATACAAAAAACAGACAGGACATGTCTTATATTTGTGATTCCAGGCTTGTTTTTTTTTTACATTGGTCATCTATTTGATCAATTATACAGATTTTTCACATTTTAAATTTTGTCTAATTTAGCTACTTTTCTTATTTAAATTCTGTGCATTGTGACCAGACCGCTATTTTGAAAGTGAGTTAGTTATATGTATCCAGTGGTTATAAAGGATGTTTTAATTAACCAGATTTGCAGAAAACTTAGTTTTGCTATAAAAAAACAACATAATTTTGTTCTTTACAAATATGAGAGAAGATACTGAAGGAACAGATGCAACTGTAAATTGACAAAGACATCTACCAGTAATCCCCCAAGACTACCTACCAGCCTTCTAGCTTTTCACCATTTGGAAATCTCAGCTTATTGTTATATATAATGATACTGACTTGATTTTGGGCAGCAGGAAGAATAAAGAAGCTTATTTTACAATCAGTGCACTAGTTTGAGAATCTGCCCCAAGAACTCAACAATAGAGATTTGAAGGTGTTACCTTGATGGCAGTGGAGGCGATCTGGATGTGGTGCAGCTTGCGCAGAGTGCTCTCCCTGTCGATGAAGTAGGAGGCAGCCAGCTGGTGCAGAGCTTCCAGAGTCACAGTGGAGGAGTTACCCGAGTAATCGCTCACCTCTGCTTTCTTACTCAGTTTCCTTTTGTCCACAAATATCGTTAAGGCCTCTTCTCCTGCACAGAAACATATTATTTATTTGTTTTATTTTGCTTTTTGAAAAGCTTGTGGACATTATCTCTTACTATTAAGGACTCCCAAGTATAATCTCACCTTCTTGAAGGCTGAGGTACACTTCTATGACATAAAATCTAAGTTTTTGAGTGATTTTTGATGTTAATCTCTATCTTTGGTGCTAAGCACTCATGCTGAGGTGTGAGGTGTTTATGCATTGCGCTTCCCACAAATAACTTGTCAATCAAAAACTGTGCCAAACAGTGTCGCATCTTTTTACTGGGATTTTTTGCTAATGAAGTCTGCATTTGGCCCTGTTTTCACGGCAGAGCATGTCCCATAAGTTGTTTTAAACCATTACAGTTAATCTACAATTTAACACTATGTCATAGCTTTAAAACCCACCACCTGCTCTGCTCCAGGAGAAACACATGAACTAAATTCCAGGTGGTTAAGATCAGGAGACTCATGCACGTGCCTCTGAAGCACAAAGACACTTTACCACAATTAGGATTAGCTACTGATCATAGCAATCAGCACTTCATAAGTGTAGGGGCCATAGTGCAGTACACTCTCTTTGCCTGAGAGTGCCCAAGACACTGCACATCATATTTCTCATCATAATGCAGTGTTAATGCTTTAGGGCCATTTTTCTGCCCAGTGCCTTTCTTCCTCAGCTGCTGAAGGGCATCCTCTTAATATCACAATCTATTTATTAATTTCATTAAGTCCATATGTTTCTGAACACAGAGGCAATCCATTCAGAACCACAGAGGCATATCTCTGGCAACATTCCAAGGCAAACTCCTCATTCTCCTCTCTTCATACCACTAAGTGCTGGCTGAGAGCCAGAGTAAGGCTGCATCAGCTCAGGCAGCTGGTGGGGTTGCATTACATGCAGCCACTCACAACAGCGACCTTTTCTAAGCTAGGAGTCAGGTCTAAAGTAATTGACAAGTGTTGCTCTGTAAAAGCAAATCTGCGTTGCAAGACTTGCCTGGGCCTCTCTAGCATCTTAAATCAGTTTATTTTTTCTCTTGTTTTTTCTTCACTCAGAAGACCATTAATGCCTGTCCATTCATCACTGCAGGAGGACAAAAAAGGGGTGAATGTGACTGGGAGTGGTGGGTTCACAGTACACAAGCTTTTACATGTATTCATACATCTAAGAGTTATTATGTGCTGCCAGTGGCATATTATTTTGCTGAGATGTATTATTCAGTTACTTACTGTAACTGAATTATTCTGCCATGTACATATGTTTTCCATATGCAACGCCTAGGTGAGCAAATTCGAAGTTTTATCACAAACTGTATATTTTGTCTATAGTCTATAGTCTATATCATCTGGAATAGTAGTAATTCCTAATTTTGGATGGAAATTGCATAATTTTTGAGCAAGGATTGAAATGAGAAACTAAGGCATGCACAGCTTAGTGAACAAGCAAATACTAGCTGGTGGAGTCAGTTTGCAAATTTATTCCAAGGGTAAAATTAGTTCATAAGGGTTCATGTATGCCAACATAAATATATGCAAACAATGTAACCAACCTATGTACTGTAAAATAACTTTTTTCTTCTTTACCTCCCAGTGTAGCTGACAACAGGAAGTGTGTCCCATACTTCCTGATCAGATTGTCAGTGATCATCTGGGTGGTGGGCCTGCGGCCCAGGAGTCTAATGTTCCTGATGAACTCAGGAGTTAGAGGTAACGGAGACTCCAAGAAATCTCTCCTTTCCACTGCCAAGTTGTTCACCTTCCATCTCCCAAACTCCCTGGAAGAAACACACACTGTATTAATAGTGGAGTAAAAATGTGGTACAGGATAACTGGAAATATATGTCAATTAATTTGGCTATGGAAATATAGCACCATTATATAGGTACATAATTTGTCTAAAGCTGAATACGTAAGTGGAAGACATGACTAGAACAGAGACACAGTGAAAGAGAAAGAGAGAGAGAGAGAGAGAGAGAGAGACTAGCAAATTGAATTCATTATCTCCTTCTGTGCTTTTGCAATGTAAGGAATCCCCCGACCATGCCGACAGCCTGATCTAAAATGAGAGTGAATTGACGGAGAAAGAGAGAATGAGAAAAATTTAGTAACCTAGTGAAAAGAAGAAAAAAAACATCCAGACAAAAACATGGTCTTATTTGAAACCAATGATTGTCACCTGGGACGGATACATGCTCCTACTACACAGCTGACAGATGTTTTCCTTAATAGCCCCATCATGGCAGAGATATACATCGAAATGAATAAAGTACAAGGAGGTACGAGAAATAGCCCCATTGTTCAAACAGAGAATTCAGAGAGAAACAAAGTGGCAGCAGAAATGTCATAAAAATGGTGAAAGCAGTGTGAACAAAAGACCCTCTGAAAACTATGTCTGACCTCAACCATGATTAGACTATATCTGCCCATGTTCATATTTGGTGGCATCTGACAGCTTTAAGATGATAACACAATGCACAATACACAATGATGCTCCAGGCAGCATGAAGGAGGCAGAATTTTAATAAAACTTACACTGTTATAAGGCAAGACTTTCTTCTTTCCTATCTCCCTCCCACAGCTTTTAAGCTTTTGTGACTTTCTACTTTCATGTAAAACCTAACACATGCTCTATGAGAAGGACAAAAAAATAGATATGTCAAAGGCAGCATGGTAAGCTGAACTGGAGCAAATCTCAAGGAAACAAAGGATACAGATGTTCAGTCAACAGAGACCAACCTGGCACTCTGCATGCATTATGTCTAGTATTTTTGTACAACATTTACCCATGGCACAGCTCTTTGAACTAAAATTACATTTGGCAGTGCTTTGACTCCATACAAAGTTATTCTACCCAACAGTTAAAGGTGTTTAAAGGAAGATTTCCATGCAAAGTGTCCTTCACAGATACTTTTGTGCTCTCCACGACCTGCAGTTTTGTACTCAGCTTAACACAGAGAACATGCTTTGAATTCAAATTAGAAGTACGTGTGACATTTGGCAAAACAGTAAAAAGTAAAACATTAAACAGTAAAAATTTAGGCTGAGAATATTGTGTTTTGAGAAGAGAGGTGTGCATGGCATCCTTTATCTGAATAGCTCTGCAAAGTCAAATAAGTCATCTGAGAGTGGTAAGCTTACTCTTTTAGAATCTCAATATAGTACATTTTAGTTTGCTGAAACATTGAAACCCCTTCCTATTTTGTTTGATTCAGAACAAGAGTTATCACAGACATTCAAATAGTCAACCATTATTTCTGTCTTTCTGGTCACATTTATGGCAGCTGAAACTGGAATACAAAGTGCATCAGCAGCATCTCAGTATAGGCATGAGTAAGTTTGATAGCAGAAAGTAACTAATTTCATCAGATCTGACACACTAATGACTGTAAAACTTTTCAGAAGCCTCATGAGGTTTAATTTAATCACAGACAGAGCAAAAGCAAAGATTAAACTAACTATTAATATGAAACGAAATCAGCAACTTTATTCTGGGAGACTGAGCTGTGATCTCTGAGATAAAATGTTAAGAGTTAAGATACTACACACTCTGCTAGCAGCTCTGTTCAAAGCTAACATGGTCAGGTCACAATGACAATAATAAACCATGCCTTGATTGTTTTACAGTTACCATCTTAGTTTAGTTTAGTTATTAGCTATTACACTAACATTTGTTAATAGCACTTATGTATAGCTGACTTTGATAGGAAAGTCATGCAGCAGATATTTGTTAATTTAAATTCTGACCTAAGGGTGACACTCGATGAAGATTATCATTCATTCAATTCATCCTGAGGGGGTGGAACTTCATGTCAATGCATCCAATAGTTGTTGAGATACAGTCATTCCCATTGCTAGAGCTATAATGGCCAAAAATGCTATATCACCGAAGAAAATGGTACAGGCTGATTGGAATTGGAATTGGAAACTATGGTAACTGCTAAACAAAACATCTGAAGTGACATAGTCATCCTTGTAAATGCACTAACCTTTGATTGTGTGTTTGTGTTTGAAAGCTTATAACCCATAGACACATATTGGAATACCTGTTAGAAATAAATAGTTAAACACACACACACACACACACACACACACACACACACACACACACACTTGACCGTAGCTGCCTGCACATACAGTATATCCAGTAAGCTACCTGCAATGCTCAATATCTCCCAAAGAAAAATTCAACTAATTTCGATGAAAGTGCTTCCACCTGCCCCGAGCAGGGCAGGCTATAGGTTGTACTCTGACCACTGCTAACCTGCTGTCATAACAAATTGGATAAGAGAACCAACGGCCAAACTCCATATGACTAAGGCAGCAGAAGATCAAAAATGCAAGGTCAAAACAGCTTGCTTTACAGAAAATATCTTCTTAGAAGTGAGGATTCAGTTCAGGAATTCCAAATCGGCACCTCTTCTTTGGCTTAAAGGCCCTAAAATATGATGCTGTGATATGGAAGGTGATGCCATGTATTTACACCTACCAATTAATGTTATTTTTTATTTTTTTAAAGTATTTTTTTGCCTTTTACTTGATAGTGACAGCTGAAGATAGACAGGAAAGTGGGCAAAGAGAGGGGATGACACGCAGCAAAGGGCCGCAGGTCGGATTCGAACCCTGGGCGCCAGCTCTACCAACTGAGCTAACCGGGCACCCCTAATTAGATTTTAACAATATCAGAATTTGATGTGTGGTGAGAATATTCTGTCAACAGTACTCTTTGATTTTAAACGTTTAAGCCAACATGGATGAGAATTCCTAAATGTGATCAGAAAAAATGTAAATTAGAAAGAACATCTACAATTCAGTGACAACTGGGAAAACTCATTTGCGTGATCTGAGTGATACAATCTGAAGCTCCACAATAGCAATTAAATGGACCTTGTATCGAGATTGTTTTGTCGACCACTGTTTCCAAGGTTACTTTGAATCTAATTTGTGACAATGAAAACTACGCAGTAATTGCTGAAGTCCCCTCTTTACAATGATAATAATATGTGTAATGTGTTAAGTTATAATTAAACTTTAGTTGCTGCTTATTGAACAACTATTTATTGTTAAAAATATTTTTTAAGCAAATTCAGGCGTTTTAGGAAAAGTAATAGTAACAGAAAGCAAAATACATTTCTTGTAGATCCAATTTGTAAGCATCTGAATTCAGGGTTATTTTTGGTACCTTAGTACACCTACTGTTAGAGACATTAAATGAAAAGCACATAGTGTAGGCCCACACACAATGAATCAAAATGTAGCTGACAGGTTTGTATAATATGAAAATTCTTCTGCATTTTGATTCACATTTTTTTTCAGAAGTCAGTGTGGCCACAGAAGAAAAAGGCGACGTCCAAGGAAAGGAGAAGAGATGCCATTAAAAGAGATTCCATTTTTGCTCACATACAGTATTCCATCTGTGTCTTGTATTTTATCTTTTATACTTTCTGGATTTCAGAAAAGAATGTGTGCTTGTTGAAATCAACCTGTTTTAAGCCATTACAATGGCTAAATAACCAGTATATACAATATCTTACATAGTTTGTAGACTTCAACAGTCAGAGAAAGTAAGAATAACTCAAATAATGGCAGTTTATTTATGTGTGGGTCGGTATTAATTTAAAAAAAAAATAATGTGGAAGGAAAATTAGAGAAACACATAAGAAAACCCACCTACAGAGAAATAACCTATTTCATCGTCTGTAACTGGGGCTAATTAAATATGTACTTGCAAAATCAAGACACTGTTTGAAGACCACAACTATCTTTGATGTTTAAAAAAAGTACAGCTCTGATATCATGCCAGTGGTGAGATTGTATTATTTTTGCGAGCACTTTCCCTCCGTCACAGATCTGCATGGCAATGAATGTATAAAGAGACAGTTATGAAGTCACAGACAGATATCACAGCTGTAATTATAACAGATCGGTTGTGATTACTTTGAAATTTCTCGGGGAGGCTACAGGAGTGCGGTGCCAATTTTTGCAATCCGCCTGGCACTGCCCCCAATTTACTCACATAATCACGCTTATGTGAGAAGTAAGGAACGGGAGAAAAGTTCCTCAAAGAGTAGAGGGCCTACATCCTGATGTTTTTCCATTCCTTTTTTTAGAAAAGGAATGGAAATAACGCTTTGAACATCAAAACCATGAAGGAGCAATGTAGAAATAAACATGATTAATTGTCTTGACTGAGGGATTACTTTTGTCAGATTTCACTAAGAGGCAGAAAATAAACACACAGTGAATTTATTTGAACGGCATTGTCCGATCAGTCAAATGTTGCACTTTTCTCTCACCAAAATAAAAGCTTGACTGCTGTAATCAGAAAGGGTTGAACAACCTTGGCTGCTGATGATGGATGGAGGGAGTGTGGCCTTTTGAAAGGGTATATATCACATTAAACCAGGAGTAATGAGGAAAGCTCAAACACCCAGATGTTTGAATGATACAAAGTGTAAATCCACGAGAATTCAAACTCCTGTACACAAACGTTAGAGCAAGCTGCTGGCAAAGATTTGCAACGCACATCGATTTCAATTTCAGTTATATAATCACAAAACAAGACACTGATTCACACAATATTAAGCAGAAACTGTAGGCAGAGTGTGTGAAGTAAACATAATGATGTTAAATGGATATGTGGTACCCGCTGACCTTTTTGCTGACACTGTAGTATTCAGACAAAGCCTTTGACTAATCTCTTGCTCAGATATATCTAGTGTAGCTATTAATCTTCACCTCATTTCATGCCATACAAATAAATGACCTCTTCAAATGG